CTCGCAGACCTCCTGCAAATAGTCACATGACTTACTGTCAGTGATGCCAACTAGGGAAGTGAAGGATGTATACCTCTATTTACAGATTCATTTAAACACTCAAACATAGTGAGTCGTTTCTATGTGCTAGAATTTTCTTCTCAGTGTTTGGAACATATCAATAAAACAAAGATTCCTTTTCTTGAGTTCACATTTAATGGGAGGGAGGAGAAGAGACTGACAATAAACAATAATCATAACAAATGAGAAAAGGATATAGTATACGGGACTGTATTAAGAGCTATGGGAGAAAACAGAATTAGGTAAAGGGGATCAGAAACACCAAGATCCTGAGGGAGAATAGTTTGTACTATTAAATAGGGTAGTCTGGGAAACACTTGTTTGGCATAAGAGTTTAGCAAAGATTGAAGGAGAGAATTTAGCCCAAAGATAACTTGTGAACAAAGCATTCCAAGCAGAAGAAACAGCCAATGCAAAGACCATTAGATTGGAGCATGTCAGGCATGTTTAAGAAATAGCAAGGGAGTCCTGGTGGATGGAGCAGAAGGAGCAAAGAAAAGGGAAGAGTACTAGGAAATGAGGTCAGAAAGGTAATGGAGTGGGGACAGATTATGTGGAGTCATAGTGAAGACTTGTGTGTGACTCTGAGTAAAATGGAAAGTTACTGGAGGGTTTTGATTTAAGCTAACTTCCTTAGAAAACAAAACCGAAACAAAACAAAAAACCCACTCTGGCTGCTGTGTTGAATATAGCCTATAGAGAAAAATGAAGGAGCTGAAAGACCAGTTTGGAAGCTATTGCTGTAATTAGGTAAAAAGATGATGATAGTTTGATTCAACCAGTATCTGTGAAGGTGGTTAGAAGTGGTAGCATTCTTGGATACATATCAAAGGTAGAACCAGTTTCTGACCAATTATCATCTGTGAAAGAAAGGAAGGAATCAAAGAAAATTCCAAGTTTTAAATTTAATCAGTTATAAGTATAAATAACTTTTTCATTTCTTTACACTATTCTACATAAGATTTATAATATTTTGATTATTAATAGCACATCCTAAGGCAAAAGAAATACCTTTGAACATTTTACAATGAAAACTTATTTTGGGGACTTAAAACATTGTTTCTTTGCTCCTTTAAATTTTAATTTTACCTAATTCAGCACATTACCATTGTGAGGTACAGCTATACTGTAAATTGTCATTGAGCAATTCAAGATTATATAATTGTGTTTTCCTTCTCTGCTGAAAATATCACTATTGTTCAACATGGGGAATGTCCTTTGCATTTTAACTTTCAGAAGTAGATATGTTTTGGTAAACTATGTATTCTATTTATGGAGTACTTTATCATTTCTGACATGCTGTGACATGTGTTATCTCATCCCATCCTCTCCACAACAATGGCAGATAGAAGGGCAGGAAATATGCATAGGAAATTGAAGAGTTTAAGTAACTAAGTAGCCACCATGAGAACCCTTCCTTACTTAGGTTTAGCTCACTCACTGATGTGCTTTGAGCTAGTTCCAGCTGAGGAGGAAGGATGGGAAACAGTGTGTCCTATGCTCACTCAAAGCTGAGTAGTCCAGGCCAGGATCAAATTTGTGACCTCCTTATCATCAGTGCCCCAGACAAGTGGGCAAACAAATCATTTTGTACATCAAACTTAAACACATCTCCGGAATCAGCTAGCCATTAGTTCCCCTTTATTTTCCTGGGTACTCTCACTATTTTTGTATTTTTTCATCCATACCATCTTTCTCATCTTTCTCATTCAGGAAGGTCAACTGCACCTTTGCTGGCCTGCCTACAAAGTACTAAAGCTTGCTTCCTGGATTGCAATAGAAGAATCTGAGAAATTAACAATGCCACCATCAGGGTGCACAAGAAAATGGGGAGAAGAAAGATGCCATTGTGAAGATCAACAAGGTGTGGTAGATAAGGTATCTTTTTCTGGTAGAATCCAAAGCAATCAAAGAACAACTTGTTTTGTTTTCAAGGGTCTCCTGGGAAATCTACATTAGTAATGTATTCATCAGGACCATCCGCTTCAACCTGTGTCCTCAGCTTTCAGTCTTTCACTCAACTGCTGCAAGCACCTGGCTCCTAAAATTCAGCTAGGGAAGTATAATGGGAATAGTAATAATCCTATTGCTGCAATGTCTTTCTTCTCTTTAAATTAAGCCATGCAATTAATTTATACCAATCTCTTTTTCAAGGGCGGAAATGAAGTCTGTTTTTGGAATTTAAAGATAACTTCAGCATTTTTTACAGTCTTGGTAGTTATGGGGGTGGTGGGGGAGGGAAAGGAAAGTCATAATTAAGTAAAACATATTTAACTACTACGGAGAGAGAAATTTTAATGGATATAGAAAGAATCGTTTGTAAGAAGTGCAGACAAATGCGAAATGGCATTATTAATAAGTAATGCCATTAAAGAGACCGTTCTTTCTCAGCACTCACACCTCTGAATCATCTTGGGGTTCCCTGACTTCCTAGTTCCCTGTACCCTCCAGCAGTGACGCCCCTTCTCCTAATCGTTGTCAGGGGTTTAAGTGCCATCGTCAGGATGAAGCTTATTATCTACCTGCTCCCCCAGCTTCTCTCTGAGTGACACACCACCCACGCCTCCACGCACAGCTCTTCTCCTTCCGCGGCTCCCAGAAGGAAGCTGAAGCGCTGCAGAGGGAGCCCGAGGCTACTCTCGCCTGCACCCCCGAGACCACGAAGCTCCACGCTCCAGATTACCCACAGAGTCTGTGCCCTGCTCAGTCCACCGCCCACACCCCCACCCCGCCGCGCCGCGCCAGGCGCTGCAGGAGTAGGTAGCGGCCCTGCGCCGCGCTTCCAGCTGCGTCTGCCCGAGCGCGGCACGTGCTCCCGGCGCTGGCGCGCGCGAGAGCGCCACCGCCGCGGGCCCCGGAGCCCCTCTGCCTCCTGCCGCCGCTGCCTCCGTCTCCGTCACTCGCGCTCCAGCTGCAGCCCAGGCCGGCACGCGAGCGCAGGAAGCCCGCGAGGAGCGGCTGGCTGGGGGCGCCAGGCTCAGGGCGCGCGCCAGGTAAGCACAGCGCGGTTTTCATTCTTTCAGCTTGAGAGTCCACCACGGCAGTAGGATACCGCCGGAGCCCCTCCCCCAGCACGGGGACGGACAGCATTCAGGCGAGGGGCGGGAGCGCGGGCGAAGGCACCCAGGAGGGCAGGTGGTGGGCAGGTGGAGAATGGTGGAGCCAGGGACGCTGAGACGTCCTGCAAGTTTAGAAAAGTCACCCTGCAAGGACGTGTGCTGTGTGAATCAGACACGAATTTCTAGTCAGGAGCCCAGGCTACCGCGGCGTCGCTCCAACGAGAGGTTTATGAAGATCATTTTGATTTTATTTGCATAAGTGAGGGACTTAAGTGGGCTCGTTTCCATAGAAAACGAACTAAAAAAAAAGCAGAGGAGAAAATAGAGATCTGAGCCAAAGGAGGCGTTTGGATTTCGGTCTCTCTCTCTTTCTCGCATACCGATACATGTGCACAAAAGGGTGCTTAACAAGGGAGAAGGGAGCTTATCGGTCTTTGAGACCATTAGGTGTTTGGGGGCTAGGAAGAGCATTCGCTAATGCTTTTCCCTGAAAAGAAGCAGCAGAAGAGAGACCTGGCGGGGTGTGAATGCCAATGTTCCATTTCTAAAATGACACTTGCATGACTGCACTATGGAGGAAGAGGTTTTCTAGAACAGGGGGCCATTTTTAAGGGGGTATACCTGTAACTCTGGACCTATAAGCTCAGGTTCAAGTACTCCCAGTGGGGGATAAGGAAACATCCCTACACTAGGTTTCTTTATGGAACTTTGGAAAAGGATGGGGTCAGAGAGAGGAACGGGTGGGGGTTGGGGAGGAAAGGGAGTTGAGTATGAATGAATGGGGGTGGGGGAGGAGAAGGAGAGGAAGCCTGGAAGTCAGGCTTGGTATCAGTGTGTTCATTTAGTCCCACCCTGGGTAGTTCTGGATTTGGTCTCTAGGAAAATGTGTGACCTTGAAGAAGTCCCTTAACCTTTGTGTACTCAGTTTCTCCATTTCCTTCATTTCTGCAAATCATAGAGATTCTTCTGTGTTTGAGGGCACAGAAGTTCTGTGGAGTAATGTCTTTCTGTGATCTATGGGTTTTTAGATCTGCATACAAGGAAGGAAGAGCACCCAGAAAATCCAGATAAATGAATTTTTAGGGCATTCTCCCTGAAAGTACCAAAGACATTTGCAAGCTCCTGGCTGTGCTGTTGGTGTAATGCATGCTGAGAGGTCTGTGGAAATGGTTGAGAAGGACAAGCAGACACTTAGACTATAACCAAGGGAACCTAGAGTTCTGAGTGCTGTTTGGAGAGATTCAGATCCACAGAGCCTAAAGTCACTTGCTTTTTTAAGGTAACAAATAAAGAAGGGGGTTTGGTGGCAAGCTGTGAAGTTTTTTGAATCTGAGGGTTTGGGAAATAATCTGGAATTGATTCTAAACAAGGAAAATGAATGGCATCTTACTTGAAAGGTTGGGCATTCCAGATGGCAGGAAGGTTTTAGAGTGCGATCTGAGAATGCTGTAATCTGGGCAGAGAGGTTAGGAGGGAGGGGAGAATGGATAGTGTTCCTGAGACAAGGTTTCTTAGACTCCTAGGAAGAAAGTGGCATCTGCCCATTGTCTTTGACACCTCTGCCACTTGTGCAAGGAGGGCACAGTATTTCTTCCCCCTTAATGCAAGCTCCTAGAACTCAGGGATCTGTATCCCAGATGCTGAGATATGAAGGTGCACATGGGAAAACTCAAGTCTTATGGGTGCCTCTGATTCCTCTTATCATGTGAGCATCTGGATTCGGAGCTGGTTCACCCATCCAGATTTGACCCAAAGTCTGTGTTCCTAAAGGAACTCACTGTGCCACTTGGTGGCACCAAAAAGTTGCGCTGAGAACTCTGTTCTCTATAAATACAAACTACCACCCCTCCCTCCTCCGCGAGCTCCCCTTCCCCCCCACCCCCCATTTCTCAGTAGCAGGGAGATTGCTGCACACGCCGCCCTCAGCTCTGCTGTTCTGTGCGCACTGAGAGCAGGAGATGAGCTTAAGATCTTCTTAGTGAGGAGCCTGGGAATGGAGAGGCTGGCTCTGCCCCGCTGATCAGCACAGCCCAACTTTATGGGGGGCTAGCTAGACTGCGTCTCACTGTCCGCTGCGCAGCCAACAGGGGGGTAAGCTTGCTAAGGGTCTGTGTGTCCAAGTGTCCCTGTGCTCGGGAAGGATGTAGGAGCTATCAGCTTGCTGGGTACCTCACAGTTTGGTTTGGGAGTGGGAAGAGCATGGAGCAGGTTGGTCAGACCTTGAGCTTCAAGTCTGCTCTGTTTGCTGATGGCCTTAGTTAAACCTGTTGGGAGAAAAAGCAAGAGCAATGGGGTATAAAGGAGGGAATGGCTGCAAGGATTGAGAAACGGATCCTGCATGCCTTCGGATCCGAGTTCCCGCTCCCTAAGGCCAGGTGCGCATATTTAGAATGCAGATTATGCTGCCCCAAACCACCCGAGGGCTCGGAATTGGGAGAAGCAAAGGTGGAGAGGGAAGGAAGGAGAATCGCTTCCCAGTAGATCGGTAAGATACCGCGACCGTGGCGCCTGCTGCAGGAGGAGGGGGGACAGCGGGTGGTGCTGAAATCACAGCTCTCACTCAGGCTCGCGTGCTTCTTTCTGAACCCCAGTCAGCGCCCTCTCGCTCTTTCCTCTCCTGTGGTTGCATCTTTCCCTTTGGAAACACAGCCTGCTAGTTACCCGGGAGCGGCAGCATGAGTAGCATGCCGAGGAGGGCACCCAGGCTACAGTGACTTGGGGAAAGAACCCCAGTCAGGCCCGTGAGCTAACCGGTGACCGGAGCCTAACCCAGACTTGGGACCTCACAAAGGGAAATGAAGAGTCTGCCTGGAAGGCTCTTGGAACTGGTGCTGCAATTTCCAATCGCCCTCATTTCCCTCCGGAGCAGGTGCTGTGGGGCAGGGAAATTGAAGAGAGGTTAACAAGCACTTGTGCTTATTTAGGCACAATCCTGGTGCTGCCTCAGCTGAATTGTAAGCTTGAGTAACCAGGCAGATAGATTCTCCAACACTTTACTTCCCTCTAAGAAATTGACACAGGCCGTGGGAAGGCAGAATCTTCCTCCCACCTTTTGCTTCTTTCTCTACACGTTGTTTTATTGTTCTAAGTCCCTTGAGACTCGGCCAGAGCTAATCTGTATTCTTAATGTTGGCTTCTGGCCATTCGAGACAGCCAAGTTAACATTGCCTTTTACTATGTTCAGCCTCTTCTCCCAGTGGGGTTAAGCCAAGGTTTTCTGTAGAATCCTCTTAGTTATACAACATTCTAGACACTCTTTTGAGTTTTGATGTGTTTAGGTATGCTACCTCTTGTTAGATGTGCTTTGTGCCCCTCATTACCACCGTAGAGCACAAGGAATTTTCTCGTGTAATTTCTCTCATATATCTATGAATTTCACATTTAAGAATCAATTGTGACTATTTCTGTCCTTTATAGATTTTAGTTTCTGTTTAAAAGGATGTTTAGTTTGGGACTTGAAAATACTGCTTCCTAAACTCATCAGGTTAATGCACATTCTACAAAGGCTTCTCCAGGGGGGACCGTTTCAGCACGTCGGACAGATCCTTCAGGGTTTCTTAGAAGAATGTGGGTAGAATACTTTCCACCTAACTGCTTCTTATAAGAGAAAAGCTTTCCCCTAGTCATTTACACTCTGCTTGACACAATGTATCATTTGGATATTTTCATTGCACCCCCTAGATCTCTGCCATCACATGGCAGTATTTTGGCTGTGGGCTGTACCCAAAGAGAAACCAAACTGCAGTATTGATTTTTTAAAGGACTTATTGAGATTATTTGGGAGAGGGTGTGATGTTCCAACAATCCAAATATGTACTTCTGTAGGGAGATACAGGCCTCTTCCATCACTTAAGAGTCCATGTGATGGGGGCGCCTGGGTGGCTCAGAGGGTTAAAGCCTCTGCCTTCGGCTCAGGTCATGATCCCAGGGTCCTGGGATCGAGCCCCACATCGGGCTCTCTGCTTGGTGGAGAGCCTGCTTCCCCCCCTCTCTCTCTGCCTGCCTCTCTGCCTACTTGTGATCTCTCTCTCTGTCGAATAAATAAATTAAAAAAAAAAAAGAGTCCATGTGATGGACATGGTGACAAACACCAACGTGAAAACTTTGTCCAACCAGCACAAAATATATATCACGTTTGTGACTAAAGAATTTTAATACTTCTAATGTTCTCATTTTTGTTCAAAACACATTAAAGATTTATAGGAGTCTTACATTTTCTTTTATGGAATTTTTAGAGCATTTTAGATTAAAAAACTAAATTAAATGTCAATAAAGCATAGGTGAAATTACAGATGGAAAATATGAGATGACAGTAATCATGAAAAATATTGTACTTATTTGTATACCATTCTCTCCCAGGCTGTATGTCCTTATGGGATGAAGAAAGACATGCATCCAACTATTCTTCCTTATCCTCTTTGCTCTGTTATTTTAATAGAGTATAAACTAACTTTATAAAATATTAAAGACTATCTTTTGATATCTATTGGGATATGCTAAAGTTAATTGGTTTGTTTGGAGTTTGGATATGCTGAAGGTGTAGTAATACAAAGCAGGGACATCCTACAGTTTAGAAATGTTATTTTTAAAATTCAAAGAAATATTAATGCTAGTCCCGAAGCATCATTTAGTCATTATTTTCGTTAATGAGTGGAGCTTAGGAGGACACAAGATAAGAGCATCAAAAGAAATCTTTTTTAGTTCATGATGTGAAAAATAAAATTTGAATTTTGATTTTGAATTTTTGGCTATTTGTAAAAGGCAGTATCTTCTTGGTATTTCTTCATCTCAGTCAGTCAAAATGTAGTAAAAAACATTATGCCATAAGCTTGCTTTCATTTCCTTTAAGTTCACAGAGGAAGAAAAAACATCTAGATTTTACCAGTTCTAGTTTTGTTTGAATTATATATCCAACTTTAGTCAGAAGGGTAACCAAACAGAAGTCTTTATTCAGGCTCATCCCTGCTCCAGCAACTACCCTTCCTTGAGCATGTTGGGTGACATGCCATGCCCTGGTGTTATTTAATCCTCATAACAATTATGCAAGGCAATATTTGTTCTTAATTCTCTGTTGTTAAAACCGAGTTGTTGTTTTCTTTCCATTGTCATATGACAAGGAAACGCGAAAAATGAGTAAATACACACATCTGATTGGTTTGGGAATCAAACTTACCCTCTTTCATCACATTAGGTAACTTTAATCTATGGTGTGCCAAAACATTATGGAATTGTTTCCTCGTGGTTTCCATGAGTTGTGGTATGTTTGGAAAGGCAGACGCTCACACAAGATTGCCTGAGTTTGAATCCCATCTTTGTATGGGATTACTAGCTGTGTAACCAAGGGTGAGTTACTTAATATTGCTCTGCCTCTGTTTTCCTTATTTTTCAAATGGAGAGCGGGGGGTGAGTGGGCGCTTGGGTGGCTCTGTTGGTTAAATGTCAGACTCTTGAAGATAGCTCATGTCTTGATATCAGGGTCTTAAGCTCAAGCCCCACATTGGGCTCCATGCTGGGCATGGACTCTGCTTTAAAAAAAATGGGGAACAGGTTGTAACACTATAAGGTGCATTGAATAATTATGATGAATTAACTGTACAAATATAAGCAAAGTTCCAGACCACAATTAGAAGTGTAGAAATCATAGTTGTGACTATTAATCTCATCTAGGCCTTTGAATATCAAATGTTTCCTAGCTTTCCCTAGTTTCTGAATTTAATCTTCTCAGCAACCCTGTGGTTGGTACATAATTGCTGTTTCAAATATCTTCTCTTATTTTAGTCAAACTAATTGGGAAATTTAAAGGAAAGACTTAGATGTGAAAAATGTATTTTATGTAGATATTATTCTGTTGGTCTTATAAAAATATCAGACCTATGAATAATTCCCTAATGATCATTTTTCACAGTAACTCTGGCTATAGACCATTATTCATAAACTTAATGCTCTTAAACATAAATGTTATGAGGAAAATTAAAAGATCATAATCATAATGGTGCTAGTGGGCACTGTAATAGTAATAATAATAATAATAATAATGTAGCCTATTTACATTCATAATATTTTACAAAAGAATAATTAAAAAATATTTCTTAAAAACCAATTTGCCTTAATACACAATAAGGTAGAACTCTTTAAAGACTGAGAAGAAAGGTAAATAATATAATAATTACCTTTTTAAAAATAAAAATTGGATTTTGAAAAACCAATGTATAATTACTATATAAAATTTTCTTTGTCTTGTTACAAAGTTAGAATGAACTTGATGTTTCATATTAAAAATGGTCTTTGAAATGATAAAGTATATCACAGGATACTCTTCTCATTTATTTATATAGTAAATGACTTATGACCACTCAGAACCATGCTACCATGCTTATTTAATGTGAGGCAATATCATCCTTCATTCTCAGGGTTTAATCTGTATTTCTCAAATTGCAATTGTAAGCATTAAAACAATACAATGTAGCCAGAAAAAAGTTACAAACTAAAGAAGGCATAAGACAAACCTATTCCAAACTACTGTTCTTAAATTATTAGGATGCTTCAGGAAAAAGTTTTCTGGGACTGACAAATCCAGATGATTAGTTCTTAGTTATATTCTTTTCTAATGCTTATGTAGATGTTGCCAGGCTATAGATCAGCAGTTTTCAGCTGGAGGTGACTTTGACTTACAGGGGACATTTGACAGTGTCTGGGGACATTTTCATTTGTTACAACTAGAGGAGGTGTGTTTGCTGTTGGCATCTAGAGACCTCTACAAGGCACAGGACAGTAAACCTCCACAGTATGTCGCTAAGATTGGGGAACTGTGATCTAAATGATTCCAGGAAATAGAGTTACCTCTATTTATTTAGTTGGCTTGTATGGCATCTAAATGTAGTTGGCTGGCATTACATAAACTTGTAATGGAAAGCAGAGAGAGTCTCCAGAATGTTTTGGAGTCAATGCATAAAGTTTAACCAGCCAACCCATTTGGTCTTTTGGGAGATATTATCATCTGATTATGTTGAGTGTGGGCTTTGGAGCCAGAGGGAGTTGGGTTCACGTCCTAACTTTGCCATTTATTATAGGTATAGGACTCCTGGCAAGAT